TATAAAAAAAAAAAAAAAAAAAAAGAAGCTCTTGCAATATTATTTTATTTTCAATTAATTAATTGGTGAAATTACCATTTAGCCAATTAAATTCATTTTTATATTTAATAAATATTGACTCAATGAAGTGGTCTTTTATATTTAGTTGAACAAAAAAATATTAAAAATTAGTAATTTTTGTATAAAAAAATTCTAATTTTTTAAATTCTAGATATTAAATTTTAATTTTCTTTAAATAATGGGATCAAATTTATAATATAATATAATTAATTCCTACTTTCCCAATTTAAGATAAAATTATTAAAATAATTCCAATTTTTAGGAAAAGTATTTTTAAAAATTCTTAGGCGAGGGGTGCATTTTAGTAAATAAATAAATAAAATAAAAATAGGAAAATGTAAGATTTTTTTTAAAGAACACGTGGAAATATGGATTAACATTTCTAAATTAATTTTTTAAAATCTAGAAACAAAATTGTATGACAGTCATGCCAATAAAAATAGGAAGTGTTTTGACTTTTGACCATTTTATGAACGAAATTTTGTCTTTACTGCTCAAGTCCACTAGATATTATTCGATTTGGTTCGTAATCGTCAACCTCATGGTTTAAGACACGTCTACTAGGAAGAGATTTCTACACCCTTATGAAGAATGTTTTGTTTTGTGATTGATGTAAGATCTCACAATCCACTCCCTTGGGAAGTCAGCATCTTTGTTGGCACACCGCCTGGTGTCTGACTTTGATACCATTTGTAGCTGTCTTGGCTTTGATATTATTGTCCGTTTTGGCTTGTTACGAATTGTGGTCAGCCTCATGGTTTTAAAACGTGTTTACTGTGAAGAAGGTTAACCCTACTTCGAACAGTGTCTCGCACCGTTTGATAAGTGACTTAGATACCATTTGTAATAACTCAAGCTCAAAGCTAATAGATATTATCTACTTTGACCCATCGCTGTCAACCTCACAATTTTTAAAAAAATTACTAACGTTCAATCTTGGTAATAATCTCGACGATCTTAAACCTTAAAAATCTTTTTCTTATAAAAAGGTGAAAGGGCAAATTGGTAATTTACTCTAAATAAATGACGAGGGCTTATGGATGCAACTTCCAAATTCTTGGTGGAGATGCCTTCTTTTTTTCCTAATCAATTGTGTTTTTATACTTTTAAAAAAATGTCTTTTCTTTCTACCAATTATTTATTTATTTATTTATTTTTCAACCCTTTATAGCACATGCTCTTATATATATATATATATATATATATATATATATATTTCTTTTCCCACAAATAAGTAAAGTTTTAATCAAAGTTTTTAATTCCCATTTGTTGATGGAATGATTTGATAAGTTATTGTCTTTTTGTGTTTTATTTGTATTTTTCAATTTTTTTGAAATTTTTTAAATATTCCTTATTTATTATATATGGGTGACATTAAATATTTTGTCTTTTATATTTTTCTCGATACGATTTTCTACATTGAGTAATGTTTTTTAGTTATTTTTTACGAACATGTTAAATTATTTAGATTATACTAATAATTATAGATTATTTTCAGGAAGGATTCATTTTAAAAAACTCTTTCTGATATACATGAATGAACGTCGATGGTCAAATTGACGAAATTGGACTGTTTTAAAATTCTTCCAAAAGCAATTATTTTGCAAAAGACAAAGTGTAATGGAAACAAGGTGTAAGCTCAATAATTCAATTATTAAATACAAATAATAATAAAAAAGAGTCCTAAAAGTATGAATGAGAAAAGGAAGAATCACATTCCATTGACATTGGATAAGAATCTCCTCACCAACTTGACTCTTGTTGGATTCCCACTGATGCCTCTAAATTAAAGCATTTTATATGAGAAGATGAACTAAATTAACACTATGTTTGGCATATTTATAACCAAATATATTGAATCAATTCATAAACATCGAATATCGTCGCTCGTGCAAAAGCCTCGAGACAGGTATTCAATCTAATACTGTTGAATTTGATTTCGAAGGAGCCGAGGAAAAGGTATGTAGATGTAATGAGAGGGTTAAGACGACGTGGGTCTGTATTAATGAGCTGATCAGTGCTCAAACATGGTTGTCCACAATCTCTCTATCCATGCTTGTCATTATCATCACAAAGAGGTTTGAATGGAAGATGCCTCTTCCTAAACTCAAAAGTCATTTCGTGTAGATCAAAGGGGCTTAATCCCCTTTTCTTTTTCTCGAAATTATAAAAACATATTAAGATTGCAACCCTAAATGCAAATTTATGTGGGTGAAGTCAATTTTTATTCACCTAAATATAGAGATGGGTTAGATTCTTCTCTACGCTCCAACCAATCAAGTTACATTGAAAAGGGTATAAAAATTGAAACTTTATTAGAGCTTTATACCATATGTACTTGGAATATTCAAATATGTGTATATGTTTTGTATTTAGGACTAAGATAGATGCTTTTAGAGGGTATCCACTTGGAAGAAAGAGATAGACCAAGAAAATGAGGCTCTTGTGGCTCTAATTTGAATCTAAAAGGTTGCTTTCCTTGCCACCACTTGGCCAAGTGCTATCCCAAATGGTGCTCAATTTTGTTTTCAATTCATCCCTTATAAAAAATAAAATAAAATAAATAACGGGTCAAAGATCTATTAGACATAAATCTCAAGTTCGAAACAATTAACAAAAGTGACCTTTCACAAACTCTGAAGATGATGTGCAGAGTATTAGTAGAATTAGATTAATCATGTCAACAAATCAAATTTACTAATTTGAGAGTCGAATCCCATGTGTCAACAACAAACTCGTGTTAGTAAATTAATCGACGACATATGTTCGGACACGTTGAAAAGGTGGGTTTCGATTTTGAAGATGTTGAATAATTGAATGCAAAATTCAAAGTTGTATGGTAGAATATTGAAAATGGTCCATAATTTGGGTATAAAGGAAATGATAGGATCTTGAATTGAAGCTTCTTTTTCTAAGTCTAGAAAGAAGTGGGAAAATGGAGGGTATTAAAAGTGGGTTTTTTTTCTTTATCAGACAAAGACAAAGCTGCCATTCCATCTTTTCTCACCACACTTCATTCTACTATTTAGTTTCAAAAAAGAAAGCAAAAATCATTCCACGTGTTGCAATTTGTCTCTCAAAAGGGTTCAATAATCCACCTCATGTTCCTATGTTATTGTACTCAAAAGTTCGGTTAATATATACGCGCACACACAAGTTCCATGGTATGATACAAAACAATACCCTAGAACAAATCCATGAAAGTATCATGAACACGACAATGTTCATTAAGCTTGTGAAGACCTGCTCTAAATGAAGTAGAGAATTACCATTTAAATGAAGAATGAGGGAGGGAACGAGAAAGATGTCTACCCACTAACTAAACGAGGCCGAGACCAGATCCTAGAGAGCCCGAGAGACATGTCATAATTCATATGTTCTTGTTTCATAGTGCAGTTAAGATGATAAGATCCAATTACCTCTTATCATGATTTGTCATGCAGCCATGCTTCCAACTTCCTTCATTACAGAAGTTTCACTTTCACCACTGGATTTCTACTTCTACAGCTGGCTAGAAGCTTAGAACAATATGCTGTTCAAGTATTTGTCCCCACTATAGTTAAAACACCTGTTTCCTTTCCCATTCTGGAATCCAAAGGCCAAATTTTGTCAGATATTAGAATGGTGAACATAATTCGTCAATGGGCCATGCGTACATTTAAAGGACAGAGGCAACACTATCTTAGTAAGCTTGCTCCAAGAACTTCACAACGTAAGGCAGACAAGGAAGTTAAAAGTTCTTTTGGGAACAAAAAAGTTTAAGGCATCAGTGAATTAAACCATGGTCTACGCCAATTTCATCTGTTTCTTACCAGAGATTCCACAAGCATTGATTAACTACAAACCAGGAAACATATTCCAGCCATCCAGCTAAATTATTCAGAAAGTATGCACTGACAAAATGGAACTGTATTGATGGGTATTAGTGATGAGAGTTTAAGATATTCTTTTATCTGACCGATTGAAGTCATAGCTTCCTTTAATCGACATTGACAGCGTCCACTGCTTTCAGGGCCACAGAGATCTGCTGGTCTTGCTGACATGTATGTACGACAGAAGTCTCCAAATTCAGTCTTGCTTTGCATCCACCGCATCAACGGCTTTTGGAGGTGGGTGCTGCTGACCAGCTAGAGGTTCTAACTCCTCCTGTTAAGATTCAGAAAAAGCTTGCTTCAAGAAGCCAGAGGAGCAAACGTTAAGAATTTAAACCGCTAGAGGATGTGTAGTGTTGAACACCCACATATCTGCTGTTAAGAACTCTGACATACGAAAATACCAAAATACAAGCAAATATAAATGAACATTTTATTTTACACCTGTAATAGTTCGAACCCACCGCTAGCAGATATTGTCTACTTCAGCCTATTACGTATTACCGTCAGCCTCACGATTTTTAACACGTCTGCTAGGAAGAGGTTTCTACACCCTTATAAGGAATGTTTCGTTCCCCTCTCCAATCGATGTGGGATCTCACAACACCAAAATGAGAACACATTGTTTTATCCTTATTCTCAGGGTTGCATGCAATGTCTTCTGTAGCTTGAGTGTATATTCTCAGGGTTGTATGCAATGTCTTCTGTAGCTTGAGTGTATACATGATGCATAATGATTTTGGACCATTATATCTCTTTCAGTTTAAGGTAGAGAAAATTGGCGGGGAAGAAAAATCAATGAATGCCATCAGATTTAAAAGAAGCCATTAATTTATTCGCTTCAAAACTAAGAAACAGCGATTCCTGCAGGTCCTAAAACCCTTTGCCAATATTTTAAAAGGCTAAAGATATGTTGAAGTTTTTAGCTTCTTGTTGGAGAGGTGAGGCGTCAGCCATTGTTTCAAGTAAAAAAATTATACAAATCTGATCAAAATACTATTAGAAGTATTATTGGAATGTTAAGGGCATATAAATATTTAGCAAGGGAGTTTGTTAAGCTATTTGGTTATAAATAGAGGGAGTGGAGAAGGAGGGAGCCAGACAATTGTTTAGTGGCTTATGGCTTGAGTAATTTCTCACCACGGAGCCAGACAAAATTAGAAAATTGCCACGAGGCAAGCCCTGAGGCACAAGCCTCAAAAAACGTTCTAAGACATTGTCTCTTGTACTCTTTTCCAAAAACTTCCTTAGAACTTGAGGACACAGATTTATGACCCATAAAGTTGAACCTGTTCAAGTGATCATTACTCGTTTAAAACTACCCAACCATGGAAACATAGTGACCACAAGTATCGAATCAACATAATGATTTAAAATTTATGAACTAGAGCTAATGTCATTTCAAACATGCATATCATTTATAAATACTACCCAATGCCCAAAATCACAATTGGATAGAAGATACATATTTGATTTAGAAAACTACTGAAGCAAAAAGCATCCAATCAACATGAAGAAAATACCCGCCTCCCCTCCAACTCCCAAGGAAAACAAAAAAAAAACATGAACAAGATCAAGAATCGAGTTAGTAATCACAAGTAATGAAGCACAACCCTGTAAAAGATCCTCAGTATGCTCAAACTATTGAAATGGCATCTTGAGAAAACAATTAATAAATTCATACAGCAGGTGCCTAAACTCCCATCATTGTTTTTTTAAAACTATCGTAGCAACGAAAAGCATTCAGCCACCAAGAAGATTTATTGATCAAAGTTTAAGCATCTCCATGACAGGAACGCATCATTTATATCCAATTTGTAAACAAAAATTCAATCCCATTCATAATTCTTCAACATGCCCAACTTATTAAAACGGAATTAAAGTATAAATGCGATAGCAGAACACGTACATTATTTTGTTTGGCAGCAGGGCGATAGGGACAAGCTGGAGGTACCCTCTGGGGTTTTGTATATTCCCAGCCAAAAATTCTATAAATTTTTCCCTAAAAGAAAATTGAAGAAAAACAAAAAATATATATATAATATGGAACAAAATTGTCTTCAATAGCAAAGAAAACCGAAAATCGTTAAGAGAATTTGATGAACAGGCAAAAATATGAGATCCTAAAGAGAAACGAATGATATTGGCGTACCATAATCAAGTGGAATAGAACAGGCAGCGCGTTGACGACTGGAATGAGAAACAGAGGCAATAAACACGCCAAGCAAACCTATTCAAACGAAAAACAAGCGTAAAAGAAAGATTCAAGCTACCAATCGCCAGAAATTGAGGGTTTTACCATTTTCGAACCGATTCGGCAACAAATTGAAGAAGACGATCGCAACTGTGACGCACTGGCGGACCCTTTGATGAATCTGAATTAATCCGAGTGAAAGGAAATCAAAATCAAAATCGTCAATAAACAAACGATGAATAATGAATTTTTAAAAAGAATATATAATAATAATACAATAGACCCAAGCAGGTTTCGAAACCGCGACCTTCACTCTCTAACCAGCTTTTATTATATTTATATCTTATATCTAATTCATCTTATAAATTTAAATGCTAATTTTTCTTAATAAGGCACCCAGCATTCGGTAGCTATGATTACAAATATTAAATATTTTAAAAAAATTTTAAAGTAGGGTGAGATCCTCAACCCTTCCATTTATGGCTAGTTTTTACACGACTGTTATTCCAAAGATGTTTTGGTTTGCAAGTACAGGTTCCCGTGGTTATATCTTGAACTTATCTAGTTTAGCTTATATGTGAAGAATGTACTTACAAGATTAAACATATGTAACACGTTTCATCGATTTACGAATTTTACATTAGCGATAGTTTAAAATGATATCGAAAAAGGTCTTTAACGTCAAAACGTCACAATGCCATTTTAAAAAAAAAAAAGAACAAATTCTTACAAAAGTAAAGAAGAAGTGCTTTTACTTTTTTTTTTTTTTTAATATAAATGTCATTTCCACGAGAGTAAAAATTTGAACTTTTGACCTATTTATCAAGAATATATATATCTTAATCAAATGAAATCACGTTGGATACGGTTAAGAATAATTAATGAAAAATATGAAAATAAAAGGTCAATTTCAATTCATGAAATTACAATAAAAATAACCTAAAACTCATAATATATTACACACCTCCATTATATAAAAAAAAAAAAAAAAAAAAAAAAAAAAAAAAAAAAGCACAGCAAGAAATTAATGGAGTTTTTTTCTTCTTTCCTTTTTCAGTGCATGGGGAAATCAAGAGTAATACCCAACTTTTCTATTGCCAGCACTCTGGTGTTAAAGAATGGTCTCTCTCGTTATCCGAACAATAGTTATAAACCAAGTGATTGCTCTGTACCCATTTCATGGCGTTTTGCTGTTGCCTTGTCAACCCCCCTGATCGGAACGGCGACGCAGACACCGGCCAGCACCGTGCCGGAGAGTAAGCCGAACAACCCCCTGCTTTGAAATTAGTGAACTCAGCCACAAATGGCTGGTAACTGTAATCGGCTCTGTATTTTCCATCCTCCGTTGCCCATGAAGATGCATCCCAAATCGAACCGTAAAGCCACATTGGTCGTAGTGGGAATGTCGTAGCGCTCTTCCTTGGATATCTCCTTATGGGTATGTCGTCAACAAGAAATCTGTAAACAGGACAAAACAGAGGAAGCGGGCAAAAACAGAGTGATTAAAGCAGAGCCCAGATGGATTAATTGTGAAATTGAATAATGGGTTGGTTATTAGCGTACATGATTTCCTTTGGGTGCCATAGAATGGCGTAATGGTGAAAATCGGTGGTGGGGTCAAACCAGAGATGGAATTTCATCTCTCTGCCAATGATTTGGCCGTCGCCGCTTCCTCTGATGTAAATGTTGGTCTGTAAAGTGTAGGGCTTTCCTAATGTCGTTCCCAAGAATTCGATGTCCACTTCGTCGTGGAATCCGGGGTGGGCTTCGTTGTTGGAAAGCTGCCATTAATTTCAGATATGGGTGTCAGAGCATTGAACGGGAGAATTTGAAATTGAAATTACAGAGGTTGGAACTTACGTAGAAGGCGGTGATGACGCCGGCGGTGTAGCCGGGTTGGAGTTTGATGGAGGCGCCGAAGTATCCGGATCGGAAAGGGCGGAGGGATTTGAAGCCGCTGCCAGTGAAGCGATCGAGCCAAATGGAGAGTGTATTTTGGTACAAGCCTTGGTGTTGAGGGCCCCAGAGGTTGCGAAAGCTTCGGTAGAATTCCATCGGGTGGAAGCGGGTGCTCGGCCAGTAGCCGGGGGAGGGGGGGCGGTCGGCGGCGGAGGAGGAGGTGGCGGGGTGGAGGAGGAGGAGGAGGAAGAAGAAGAAGAAGGCCATCGGAGTGGAGGTGGAAGAAGGTGCTCCCCGTTAGTAGTGTGTTGGAGTGGAAATGAAATAGCGAATGGGATATTAAATAATGGCTATTTGGCTCTTTGGGATGGACCCATTGTTATTTATTTTTTTTTTTTTTACAAATATGAAAGAAAAAAGTGAAAAAAAAAATTAATATTCTCATTATTCAAAATTCTTTAATCATCGTTAAATCTCAGCCAAGTATTGAAATGCATTTAATGGGATATGAATATTAGGGAAATATTATGCAAATAAGTGATGTATATTTATTTTTTTAATTTGTAACAAGCTATTTGTGTTAGCTTATTAGGGGAAAATTAAAAAAAAAAAAAAAGAGAAATATTATATCGATTAAAAAAGAATATTGAAATGGGTTTACTCGATGTTTATTCAGAAACTCAAGATTTGAATCGCTCCAAAAATAGTTTGATCTTTAATGATTCCAACATGCAAATATAAATACAAGATATCAAAGCTGGTTGAGAAACAAAACCATGCAAATTTCATTATACTTCTAAGGATAAGATGTGTAAATGAATAAACTGAATACCACATTTGAACGAGAGTTTCAACAATTATATATTTTGTCACAGATTAGAGAAATTTTCTAAGATACAGGTGAGTGAGGACAATCCGAATAAAAAAAGGGTATGTGACAAGAATGAAAGAAGATCTATTTCCTTCCACATCTCAACCACCATCTTTCCCGAACTTTAATGACAAAACATGTAACTCTATTAAAAGGGAGTGGAGACGAGCTTTGTCTTTAATGTCATTTCCTCTCTGTCTAGAAAGCAAGTTTTTTTTTTAACACGATTTTTTAAATTGTGTTTGAATTTGGCCGAACCGTAATATTGACATAACTTAAAAGAATGGTGGTAATGATAACTAAAAAAAAAAAAAAAAAAAAAAAACATATAATTTTGACTAAAATTTATGTCGAATAAGCTCTATAAATACCTATGAGGTCAAATAAAAAATAATATACGTGAATTATCCTAATAAATATTTTAAAGGTCGTGGTTTACAAAATGACACCACTCGTTCCTCTAATCCCAAAATTGTGGAGAGCATTGAATGATTAAACTTCAAACTACACTAACTAAAATAAATAAATAAATAAATAAATAAAAACTTGAAAGTAAAAATTAAAATAAACTAAAAATAAAACATATTATCCATAATATTATTTAAACCTTATTTTATTCAAATGGGTAAAAATTCCCGTCTTCCGAGGCAGTGAAAAAAATAAGGTGGGCCCACCTCTTTTTTTACTGATGAAAAAATGCAACGGAGTGGGACCTACCCAGGGGTGCTCTGATTGGGCCCCACCTGTGATTTTAATGATGCAATTATTATTAAAGGTTAGAATTAATCTTTATAATTTGACAAAAAATAATTACTATTTGTATAGTTTCATTAAATTATAAACACAAAATTTTAAAATTTAACATAATATTGATTATTAAAAACTAATTGAATCAATATATTATAATTAATTTTAATAAAGAACATAAATTAGTCAATTTATACCTAAACTTACTTAGATACCTATTTAAGCTTACATTTTTAATTTTAAATCTATTTATAAAATTTATAAAAGATTATTCATCTAAATAAAACGTATTTAATTTTAAAATTTTTATAATTAAGTTTAGGAAAAAAGAATGATATATACAGTAACTTTTAATTTATTTTTTTACTTGTTTTAAACGGCGTTGACAAACGTTTACGGTGACAGTCACCGCTCTGTAGTGTCGGCCACTAATAATGTGCCAGGTTGGATCCGAACGGGTGCATGAATTTCCATGCTGTCAGAAAACGGGAGTTACGAGAATAACATATTTAGGGTAATTTTCTCTCTCTAGAAATTACAAAAATGCTTAACCCAGATATATCCTTCTAATTTTATAAAAATAACAATTTATTTTGTAATTCTAATTTTAAAATAATTTAATTTATCAATAATTTAGATTTAATAATATATATATATATATATATATGGACGTAGTATATTTATAAATTATAAAGTCTAAATTGATAAATGATAAAATTTGACAATTTTAAAATATAAAAAATTAAATAGTTTGACATAAAATGAACCAATAAGTTTTAAAAAAATTAATAAAATATTAAATTCTAATTATAGAGTCAATAAACTGATACTTCTAAATTTGGATTTATCCTTAATTTTTCTTAAATATGAATTAAAATATTTTTTTCGTAAAAAAATGAACTCATTAGAAATTTAAAAGAGTCGTAGCAGTGACATTTTCAATAATTTAATAAATGCAAATTTGATAATATTGTGATAATCCCACCTATAATTTGCTATTATTCATGTCAGAAGTCAATCTACATATTATAAATAGAAATAATGTTAAATAATTTAAAAGATTAGATAAACCCACAATTTAAAATGCGTGCCATTCTAGCCGACAATTAAAAAAATCATTTAAAATATTTTTTCAGTAAATAATAATAACAAAATAATACCAAAATAAAAATAACAGAATCAATGTTAAGTTTATTCAAATTCCATTAATTTTATATATATATATATATACATAATAAGAATTTTATAAGTTTTGAATTATTAATGCAAAAATATGAAAAAAAGAAAGTATATAATAGTAATATATATATATATATAAATTAAGTCTTACCGACACTTTCTCTTGGCTACACACCAACCATGTTGTATTTTATCGAAAATTTTAAATATTACTAATAAACCGACATTGCTATTAAAATTGTACTGAAATTGAGCCTGAACTATTCACTTCTTATTCAAAATTAAGAAATTAAATTGGAATTGATTTTTGAAATCTCGAGGTTTTTCTATTAGACATTTAATAATGGGAGCTAATACGTTATTGTTAGTATCGACATCATATTATAAGTGGATAACAACGTATTAATAAAATAATATTTCAATAAAACTAAAATTAGCATAATAATAAAATAAAGATTATATTAATTTTTGTTACATATATATTTAATATTAATATTTCTTAAATATAATATAATCAAATCTATATTATAAATGTTATATAAACGT